GGTGATAGTATAGGCAATACATTCGGACATTTAGCCTCCAGATACTTGATTTCACAGACAAAGTTTTTGAATGAAGTTCTGAAAAGAAAAACAGTGAAGACAAATTTTATCAATACAACTGCAACAATCCCTCCACCACGCCACAGCAGTAGGATCCAAAGCCAGAGGCCTCAGCAATCCAGCAGAGTCTGAGCTATCTGATCCGCTCGATGAACTAGCAGAAAGAAGAGGATTTATTCAGGTCAGAAAAGCAGAGAACTACAGGGAACATCATGCCGAGGAGCACAAAGTGCTAGAGCATACTTGGAATTAAGCTCCAAATCTCTCTTCCAAGTGTGTACATCACGTGCCTCAAGCCACCCAAGTCACTCTAGTTGTAAAAGGAAAAACAGAAAGTCTATCAAGGTTTCAGGGTTTGTGTTTTCAACATGTAACAACACTAGAAGCTTCACCATGATAGTTTTCAGAACTACTATTCAGGAAGAAACAGTGCTCATTCTGGCCTGTGCCATACTTGCAAAACTTTCAGATGGTTCTGAAAGTAGTATTACGTTTTTACTAAACACATACCTGCCTTTTCTGATTATTGAACCCTTTTAGATTTTGATACTACAGAGCAAGAATACTTAAGGGAGTTGCCTGTATTTTTTCTAAAATTAATTACAAAATGAAGGTTTATAAATAAAATTTCTAGAAATATTTAAATGAGAAATAATAATGTAAGGAGATTATTTAATTGAGATGGGAGAATAAAAGAAGTTCATAAGTTATCACCAACTACTTTTTGAATTAATGAAACTTGGACATACCCAGCGATACAGCTACCTCATCACAACCAAGAAAATTACAAAACTCAAAGCCAAGTATTATCAAATGCAAAAGCTAAGTGGAAAAAGAGGTAGAAAAACAGATGGATTCACCTGGGGAAAAAAGATGACAAGAGGTGAAATAAATAATTTAGCAAACAGTCTTTAAACGGATATATAGAAGTGATAAATACATATGAAGAAACTAAGGGTCATTGTCACGTGTCAAACCTCTTAGGTCTTTGTATATCTATTCCCTCAAAAAAAGCTTTAGGAAGGCTTTAACTAAGTAATAGTAAACAGCGACTGGAAAAAGAGATCATCTCATGAATATTTTTAAACTAGTACCATTATACTTTTTACTAAAATACATACAAATTTATGTTTCCAAGATGAATTACAGACACAGTTCCCCAAAATTATGTAAACCTTTTTTTTTAATCCATGTTTTGTAAGAGCTATTCCAACCCTTCACCCTTCTTAAGATCTAATTGGCACTTAAGTATCAAAGACAGATTTGCATTTCAAAAGCCAATTAAAAAAAACATACTGCAGTAAGGCACTGATTAAAGAGTGTTGTGGCTTTACATAAATTAGGTAGTTCCTTTGACTTCCCCTAGTTCAAATCCATCATGATAATGGCAAACACTTATACATTATATGACTGTATGACCACCATACCATCTCCCTCCACTATCCTGATGCTTATATGGTAATATCCTGGTTTCAAAGAAAGCAAGCAAAACTACTTTTAAAAATAAGTGAGTTATTTCAGAAATCCAGTTGAGAGCACGATAACATGCTTAACTTTGCACAGAGAGAGGAAGCAAAGAAGGAAGAAACACTGGCAGTAACAATCTCAGCCCTTATTTGCTAGAAGGAACCAAAATGTGGTAGCATACACTTAATGGGAGAAAGATACATGTATCCTGAAACTACTGATCATTAAAGAAACTAACAAGTTTCTTGCTGTTTGCAATTTCTAAAAATCAAAGATATACTACTGTAAGTCTGGTAGAAGAGTAAACAACTTACTATCAAGGTATAGTAGCATACAATTTCAAATTACTGACTAATCCTGCAAATTTAAACTACTACATTATGGAAAATAGTTTATGATAACTTCTGACTTGTTTTTTTTAATCACATGAGAAACTAGATTAAAGAAGAAAGATCAATTTCTATAGGAGTCTCAGTTGCCACAGAAACTTTGATTCGGACACCTCACAAAACCTCAAGAGTAAGGCCTTCTCATGTATTACCACTTATGGAAAAGGTTCTTTAAAAGCACATTGTCAAACGCACTACAAACTTGCCAATCCACAGCCATCATCAATTTTCCCCTGCCGTGACACATTTATAGCACTGTGTCAAAAACATAAATTGAAGCAAGAACCCAAGAAAGTAAGTCTCTAACATAAAGCATTCAGTCACTGTCTGAACAGTCTGCACTCAGGTATTGAGAGTGTGTGTTTTGGTTTGATTTTTTCATACAACGGTTGACTAAACCCCTCTGTCACCTTGCAACACCTTGCGTTATCAATGTCTGTCATCCTGTGGCAATAAAAGAGCTTCAGTTTCTCACATTCAAGAATTCTAGATCCATCAAACTATAATATATAAGAGGTCCTTTAAATAATTTGAGAGATTTATCAACATTTATTGGCCTATTAGACCTCTATGCAAGACTCACTATAGGTAGATTGTTCAGCATTCCCTATTAGCTGTCAGGGAAAACAATGCAGTTAAAAGACTAAAAACTCAAAATCTGTATTCATTCATATATGTGTAATGGAAAAAAAGCAATTTTTTTTACTAGATTTTATTTGCCCTGGCCTACATTACTCACTAGAATCTGTAATTTTCAGGCAATGAAGTTATTTAATAAGAAGCAGCTAAAACATACAAGCTACACTCCATAATATTCTTTTTTAAAGACATCAGGTGCATTGCAATACGACATTCACACACCCAATGCAAATTCAACATACCACCGTTCAATTAAGAGGGGAATTAGCTGCCTCCCACTGTTATCTTGAGGCCAAGGAGAGACCTTACTATGCTAACTCTCCACACACTTACCGAAGCCTGAAAACTTCCAATTAAAAGAAAGGGAGGTGGCGGGGGGGATATTAAAAACCACTGATAAAACTGAGGGATTCAAACGAGGTCAAGAAAAGCAACATAGTGAAACCAGAATTCCAATATTGCATCTCTTATTCCACAGCCTTCAGCAACCAAAGCTACCCCTCTGCCCAAATAAAGGATTAAACTCTGTGTAGTGCACAGCTCTTGGTGCTTAACTGAGTTAGGTCTTCACACACCTACATTTGACAAGTCTTTTGGAGCAGCAGAACAACTTATGCACACTGCAGCCAGAGGATGCTCTCGTGCAGGCTTCTAAATTAACAGGACAGCGTAAAGCAATGCAGAGCATGTGTCAAGAGCATATCCTCTAGTTCCGAAGAAAAAAAATTACAGTTTTTACTGCACTGAATTGATCAATAATCTCCTAATACAGTTGTTAGGCCAACATGAGACAAAGGGGCAACTATTTGTGTGGTAAACATTTGTATCGGCTTGAGTTACAGTGTATTTGTTCAATTTTCTAGCAAAGATTTTTTTGAAAACAAAACTCGTCAGAACTGCATTTTGGTTTAGTTTGGTTTTTTTCTTTGTTTTTGTTTTTTGGGGCTTTTGTTTGTTTGTTTGTTTGTTTTTATTTTAAATATTAAAAGGCTCTTTAAGATTCCGTAATTTAAAAAAACTATCAAAAAAAATAGTATCCTCTACACTGATACATGAAAACGGACCTGGACATTTTGAAAACATTTTGGATTACCTTCATGTTTAACCCCTTTAACCTTACCTAATGATCATATAGACCAGAATGACAACAGAAGCAAGACACTGAATGATCTCATGTGGAAAGCCACGCAGAATTAATTATGACAGCAACAATATAGGAAGGTGGCAATTTCCTGAGATAAGTGTGTGAGAACTGCTTTTATTGTCCTCATTGCCAAGAAACTTAGAAATGTATTTCTCATTCAGAGCCTCCCTTTAAGGTATAAAACCCCAATTTTTTTACTTCTGATGTTTCTCAACAATGCTACAAGCTAACTTAATCGAAACAACATCAGAATATAAATGACAGTAAGCAGCAGCTCTGGGAGATGCTGTAGCACTAGTCAGGAAGAATTCATTACCTCAAGACATTTATTAAGCAAAGAAATAAAAGCTGTTTGAAAAAGGCTGGCAAACATCATTAGAGAAACAGAAGAAAATTGCTTCATAGGCTTTTTTCCCAGTTACATTGCTTTAGTTTACCTTTTTTTTTTTTTGGTTGGTTTTTAAAGTCTCACTCCAAGTAATTATAAGTCTCTCCCAGCCATACTGTTTACGAGACACAGCAATCTGACACTCCCAAGCCCTGAGATATAAGCAAACAACATTCTGAAAACAAATCACTTTCCCCAGTCATATTTTTTATTCTTCCATGCTAACTTCCCTTACTTACTGTTTTCTACCCCCTAAATAAAGGCTATTACCAACTCATGTCTAAAGGTTACTCAAAATACCAATGGTGAGGTTATGACTTAGGTTTCTTAATTCTGTCAGAAAAGGTTTAAACATTTGGTTGTTTGCTACTTTTCACACCTCCTTAATCACATCTGACACTCAAGAAAGAAAAATACAAAACCCCAGCACTCCTGCTTTCTCTATCACTCTTCCAGTTCTTTAGGGATTGTATACATGACTAGCTTTCAGGAGCTTCCCAAATGTTTCATGACGCGGAGCAGATAAATCTCAACATACAAGCAGGCAAAATTGTTTTCAAGGGTATTTATACATAAAGTAGAATCCTGCTTTTTTTCTTTTTCCCCCTTCTAAGCTGTGATAAATCTTCACTGTGATTACATGCACCTGACAGGTTTTTTTTTTTAATCCATTCATTTCCATTTTCCTGATCTTGAGCATTCCCTGAGAAATACCCACACATTAAGCCACTTAGATGAACAGAATATATGACAACTTTCACCTAGTAAAGTAAGAGATACAGTCCCAGTTTCACTGATAACTGATGAAACAATCTTCTCCTTTCCTGGAGAGCTCCTTCCTCTTTTTGCAAGGGCAGAGCAAACATCGACATTATCATGTTGTTAGTTACATTTAACAACAAAAGAGACTTACCTGCTACTGTTAGCTTTGCTGTTCTGCTGACAATGGTCCCCAGGCTTTCCACAGTTGCCACACACTGGTAATATCCTTCATCAGGTTTATTATGCTTGGAATGCACCACACTGTTTATTAATAAAGATCCATCTGGTAGCAACTGGCGACGATCATCTGACACCAAGTTTAGAAAAGTCCCATCTTTTTTCCATTCAATTTTTGGAGAAGTTTCACAGTAAGCTGAACAGTTCATTATGACAGAAGCTCCGCGAACTGACAGAACGTCCATTGGCTCCACCAGAAAGTAAAAAGGAGTGAAGGTTCTCACAAGGGATCCTGTAAAACACAAATCACATCACACAATTTTTGGGTTAGCCAAATTTCTTAAACATAAAATGCATCCTCATTTCAAACTACTGTAACGTGCACAAGAGCTATCACTACTTGCAATACTGTCTCCCTGAACATATTAGAAATACCTTGGTCTGTATGACAGCATTTTCTGCTTTGACTATTTACACTAATGGACCCTTAAATCCAAAAAAGTTCTCATCCCTAAAACATGTTTGTCTACTCATATGGGAATCAATACGGTTAACAGTCCTGAGTCATCCACAGCAGACAGAAGTCTGCCTCATCAAAACTTATGCAAATTAATCTATGTGCTTGAGTACCACATTTATAACAAATGATACGTACTGTTAAAGCTCTTTTCTTGGCCTTTTGTGGTGCGGATGCCATACCAGAGCAGTGCGGTGATTTGTTTTGTATAACGAAGATTAAGAAACATTAAGATTAATTCAGCCCTCACGAAAAAAAAACAATATCCATTTCTGATATGAATTCATCTTGCAAATACCATAAAACATTTTTCTACTTCCATTCTAGTTCAGGATAAACATGATTACTTTTCCATTTTAAGTATTCCCAAAAGAGTTCTATAATTAATATTTACTTTGCCTTAAGAAGCAAATTTTAATTGCTGCATTTTTGGTGTATTTGGTCAAGCAGAAAGATGTGTGTCAATATCATTTGACTTGTCTTAACTTAATCATCCATACAAAACAAAGCAGAAAAATTCTTCCAGGGATGAACACTTTTCTAAATCAGCGTAATGCTGGGTTGAGAGAAAATGTGGTCTTTGTTTTTAAAGCTAACATTACATGAAAGGCTCCCCACCTATACACCACTTGGAGACTACGAGCAGAATAAATGTACAAAACATCATGACAATATAAATTGAAATATTACTAGCCGTCTACCAGCAAACAAAAAATGAAAGTGCACAGACTAGAAGGTTAATAGGGCTTCTGAAGCACATCACTTCAAGCCAGAGCTGCAAGGATTCCTCCTGTCTTCATATAAAGAAAGCGAGCTGCAGACGGAAACACTTAAAAATGCCAGCTGAAAACAAGCACACAGCCAAACTTACAAGGTTTTTTTGCAAGGCCTAGAAAATAACTATTTTCCAAAGACACAACAGCTAAATTACAGAAAAATTATGGGAAAAAACAGTCTTCAAAGCCTGTACATTATCCTTTAACTGGGGGGGGGTGGGGGGAAGAGGGAAAAGTCTTGAACCTGGGGGAGCAGACATTGCCTCCCAGTTACATATAGTCTTTAAGATAAATGATCAGACAACATAAAGCAGGGAAGAAAGGTCTGTTCTCCATCATACTGCATAGCTAGATGCTAAATTGTTATCATCTGACACTGGTGTAGCAAACCTAAACATGAACCAGTTTACTTGATCTGGCAGTAAGCAATACATGATAGAATGAGAATGTGTTTTTCCTTTTAGGCACGTCTAAGAATTTGAAGGCAATCCACAACACTTGAGAAAGTAATTGCTAGAAAAGTGTTAAAATACATTCACAAACACAGAATGAAGCTTCTACTGCACACACTAAAATCACACACTAAAACCTTCAGAAAGGATCATAGAACTACTCATAACTATTTAGTCTTTCACAGTAAGGTCAATAGTGAAATACTGAAGTATGCTAAGACCACCTTGAAGAAGAATATGTATTTAATAGCCAGATTTGTTTCATTAAGTCACAGAGGAGTTATGAAGCCTGTGTTTTTAGAAAAAGTACAGATATGAAGGAGGTCCTTGTAGAAAAGGTCTGTGCTGTAAGCAGTCTAGCTTCTTCAATTGCTTAGTTGGTTGTTGGTTTGGGGTTTTAGGGGGTTTCTTTAAATCTGATTTACCTTCTAAAATAGCCTCAATTAACAAATTTGTATGATTCCTTCTATCTCTGAATTGCACAGAAAAACTCTCTTCTCCAAAGAGACTTCAGCTTCCCCCTGGAGAGGGATTCCAGCCTTCCTGCACAAAGCCTATTGTCTTTGCTGCTCAGAATTCACAGAAACTTGAAGATAAGGCAGAAGGAGTGGTGTGAAAGAAGTAACAGATAAATTATGCTTTAGTAGATTATATCATTCCAATATCCTTCCACCTTCAAGAATTCAAAGAGGAAATAACAAAAAAAGTATAGGAAGACTGAAGTTTCCCTACTGACAGTCTCCAACTGAAGACGACCCATTACATTGGTATCCAAATCATTGAGATTACATCCTTCCTGAGGATAAGACCAAAAAAAAAAACCCCAAATATAGACAACAAGAACAAAAATTACAAAATTTCTAGATGTGATCATACAAACCAAAGTAACATAAGCAGCACCTATGTGCAGATGTACTTTGAGTCTTTGTGTGTGGAGTACCAAGTTTCAGCGCTAACATACCAAACAGCAGCAAAGAGACAAGAGTCATGAGCAGCATGAAAATACTTTAGACTGTTTATCAGTATAATCTCCCCCATTGCTCCAGAAACCTAGAGGTCTTTTTTTAAAAATAAAAATTCAGCTTCAATGACCCTGAGTTATCCAAGAAAAAGCATTCTACTCCAGCTATCAACCTTTTTCCCTCATTTACAAGCTTCTGTAAGTCTTTCCAATATAGAACCAGACCCCTACCAGAACAAAATACAAACACTCTTGAGTTTCTTTTCTGACCTTCTTCTCTGGCTTTCCAAATAAATCCTGGGAAACCCTTGAAAAGGGGAGGCCAGCTTCTTGTTTGCCTTGTCTGGCTTTGGTAGATTGGAGCAGATCAAATCCACTGATGGGGTAAGATTGTTGTTATCCTGGAAGAAGCAAGGTGCCACTCTGCTTTGCAGAGTGTAAAGCAAAGGATGTCAAGAGAGAGCTCACCAAAAGGAAACAGTAGCACAGAAGGGATTAGAGACTTTCAGGAAGAATGGGTAGCAGATTCTCAGCCGGGTTTCAGAGGTAACAAAAAAAAAAAAAAAAAAAAAAACACCTTTTGCCAAGAGCCTTATGAATACACAGCACAGCCTGCTACAGCTCAGGATACTACCATGCTCCTGCACAGAAAGCAGTGGATTATGGAGAGGGGGGGAAGAAAAAAAAAAAAAAAAAAAAAAAAAAAAAAAAAAAAAGAAAGGGTTGGTAAATAACTATATTCCGTCTTGAGGGAAGTTAAACTAGAATTGAGACCTATCTAGCCTGAGGTCCCAGAAATGTTTTGCGATTTATAGGTAGGGCCACTCTGGAGACGTCTGGTGGGCTGCATCCATACTCCAGCCAACTGAGTTCAGACATCATTTAAGCCTCGATTCAGCCCAAAAAGGCTTTGTACATATCAAGACCCCAATAACATCTGTTAACAAGTCATTTCTCCCACTCCATCAGCCTACTGATTATTCAGTTAAATGACACTACATCATTTAGGAAAGAACTGATGTATTTTGTAGAGGGCGTCCTTCCTCTTTCCATTTCTACATCTTTGGGGGGCTGGGGGTGTACATACATAAGTATGTACACATCAGTGGCTTGTGTTAATATCAGCCCAAGAAACTTCTGTAAAAGCAATACAAATCTATCTTCCTGCTCAGAAACAAGAAAAGTTGTCTTGCTCGTTCCCAACTGATATCTTTTTCCCCCCTCCCAAATCTGCTCTTGAAGACCAGTGATAGGGATCCAGCAGTTCCTACAGATATTCAGTCCCAACGCTTCACGCTCTCTATTACCAGGACTATCAAGCGGTATTGCTGTGATTTAAGCACATTTCTTTTTGCCACTGTGGGCACGGAGAACAGGCTATTCATCTTGCTCAACATTCTTCTACATATTTGAGGACTTCAATCCTTTTCCAGACTCTTCTTTAGGCTTAACATTTCTAGTTTAGTACAAGGTAGATAGTAGGGCTCTGATAATTAACTCTCTGAATCCCCTCCAACCAGCCCACGTTCCTCCTGAAGCGCTGTGCCCAACACACGATGGAGTGCTCCAGCAGAGACAAAATCGGTGTTAGGTGCAGGTACAGCGTCATTTCGCATGTTGTGGAAGCTCTACAACTCCTTTCTTCATCCGTCCCAACATAAAGGCATTAGGTTTTAGCACAGAAGCATAACACTACTGACTACATTGATCTGTAATCCCTTCACTACCATAATCCCTAGATCCTTTTCTCGGAAACTGCCGTAAGGCTTGTTCTGTTCCATTTAATGTTTGACTAGCTGATTACTCCTGCCTAACTGTATTAACTTTCACTTGGCTCCTCCCAATATTTTCTCCTTCCAAAAAAGTTTATCACTTCTGAACTCTAACCTTGTCCTCCCTCTCCAGCTTCAAATTGTGTGAAAAATTACCAAATATAGCTTACTCTGTCATTCAGGCTGTGAGTGAAAGACATCTAATAGAATTTTACTCAGAACACACAAGTGCAAAATCCCACACAAAGCCACCTTCAGGATCATTGTCTTGTCTTCTTTTTCTCAACATTCACCCATCCCTTTTTGTAGCTATCTTATGTCAGTTGAGACCATGTTTCCCTATTTCCTCACAAAAGTGTAACAGGATGGCAGTGGTTGAGGAAAGAGTAAGGGAAGTTAGGGTTTTTTCTATGAAACATTTAAAACCACTAAGAAAATTATAATGGTCTGAAAACTATTTGTCTGACAATTCCACAACAGTTAACCCTCCTACACACATTACCTTCTAGATTAAGTTAGGAAAAAAAAAAGTTTGTTCACTCACCCCGCAATTTTTCCAGGAACTGAATCCAAGTTGATTACTTTCATAGATTCCTTGGCTTCTCCCCACCTCCATTTAAAATATTTTGGGTTTTTCTAGTCCTCCTTGTAGCTCTCCTCAAACTCTCAGAATTAACCAACAGTTCTGAAATTGTTTCAGCCACAATAAACCTCATAGTTTCAAATCAGTTCTGTATGACAACACAGAAGTACTTTTAGCCTGTCCTTTGCTAAGCCTAGGGGATCTCCTTCCCTTCAGTATCAGGACAACGGA